TATGCTCCAAAATGATCAGCACCTACATTTGTAAATGAAAGGTTATTAAAGCTTAAATCACCCTGCACAAAATTAAAGTCCAAGTGGATCAAAGACCTCAACATAAAACCAGACAAACTAAATCAGTTAGAAGAAAAAGTGGGGAAGAGCCTAGAACTCATTGGCACAGGAGACAACTTCCTGAACAGAACACCAACAGTGCAGGCTCTAAGAGCAACAATCAATAAATAGGACCTCATGAAACTAAAAAGCTTCTGTATAGCAAAAGACACTGTCGTCAGAACAAAATGACAGCCTACAGACTGGGAAAGGACCTTCTCCAACCCTATATCTGACAGAGAGCTGATATCCAGAATACATAAAGAACTAAAGAAGTTAAAAAGCAACAAATCAAGCAATCCAATGAAAAAATGGGGTAAAGAGCTAAACAAAGAATTATCTGTAGAGGAATATAGAATGGCAGAGAAACACTTAAAGAAATGCTCAATGTTCTTAGCCATCAGGGAGATGCAAATCAAAACGACCTTGAGATTTCACCCTAAACCCATCAGAAGGGCCAAGATCAAAACTCAAGTGACAACACTTGCTGGAGAGGTTGTTGAGAAAGGGGAACCCTCCTCCATTGTTGGTGGAAGAGTAAGCTTATACAACCACTTTGGAAATCAAATCTGGTGCTTTCTCAGACAATTAGGAATAGTGCTTCCTCAATCAAGGTATACCTCTCCTAGGCATATATCCAAAAGACGCTCAAGTACACAACAAGGACATTTTCTCAACCATGTTTGTAGCAGCTTTATTTGTAAGTGTCAGAAGCTGGAAACAACCTAGATGTGCCTCAACGGAGGAATGGATACAGAAATTGTGGTACTCTTACACAATGGAATACTACTCAGCAATTAAAAACAAGGAAATCATGAAATTTGCAGGCAAATGGTGAGATCTAGAAAAGATCATCCTGAAGGAAGTATCCCAGAAGCAGAAAGGCACACACAGTATATACTCATTTTATAAGTGAGTATTAGATCTATAAGATACGATAAACATACTAAAATCTGTACACATAAAGAAGATAAACAAGAAAGAGGACTCAGGGTAAGATGTTCAGTCCTCACTTAGAAAGACAAATGGGAGGTGCATTGGATATAGGAGAAAACAAGTAACAGGAAAGGAGCCTATCACAGATGGTTCTGAAAGACACTACCTAGCAGTTTATCAAAGGAGACGCTGAGACTCATAACCCAACCTTGGGCAGAGAGCAGGGAATCCTATGAAAGAAGGGGGAGTTAGTATCACCTGGAGATGACAGGAGCTGCACAGGGACCAAATATATCTGGGCACAGGGGTCTTTTCTGAGACTGTCTCTCAAATCAAGAACTATGGATATAACCTAGAACCCCTGCTCAGATGGAGCCCATGGCAGCTCAGTATCCAAGTGGGTACCCTAGTAAGGGGAATAGGGAATGTTTCCTACATGAACTCAATGGCTGGCTCTTTGATCCACCCCCCCAAGGGAGGAGCCACCTTGCTAGGCCACAGAGGACATTGCAGCCAGTCCTGAAGAGAACTGATGAGCTAGGGTCAGAAGGAAGGGGAAGGGCACCTCCCTTATCAATAGACTTAGAGAACAGCAGGGAAGAGATAAGGAGGGAGGTAGGATTCGCAGGAAATGAGGGAAGGGGCTACAGCTGGGATACAAAATTAATAAACTGTAACTAATATAAAAAATTAAAAATTAAAAAAATAAATAATATGAGAATATCAGTAGATTCTTCACAATAACTACTAAGAACTAATGGTTACATTACTAACTTCATTAATATTTTTAGCATTTGTTAATTGTACAAATAATGGGTTTCATTATGACATACTGTACTTAAAAATGCCCAGTAAATTATAAAAATTTGGGCATAAGTGATCATTTGGCCACTGATAATCTCATTAACTTTGATATTACTTCTTTTATCACAAAACCACCTTTGGAAAATCATATTTTAATAGTATAAAACAGATATATAGTAACAGTGAAAAAATCCCACTTCATAGATATACACATGTTATAGAGAATGTATCTAGACAGTACATAGGCCTACTCATCACACCAAGAATGGTAGAGACAGCAAGAAGAGACCACTGTCTGTCTTCTGTTGTTTTGCCTGCTTTTCCCGATTCCTCCTACTGGGTTGCCTAGTGCAGCCTTAATGTGAAGAGAGGTGTCTAGTCACTGTAAATTGATATGTCATGTTTTGTTGATATCCCTTGGAGGCCTACCCTTTTTGAAGGGAAAGAGAGGAGAGTGGATCTGGAGGAGAGGGGAGATGGAGGTGGCAGACTGAGAGGAAAAGAGGGAGAGAAAACTGAGGTAAAATATGAGAGAAGAATGATAATATTTCCTATAATAATATTACCAGACAATTCATGATTGGAGTAGTCATCCTCTTTTGATAAAAGATACCTACTGTCAGGCATGTAGGGGGAGAATGAGTACCGGTAATAATCTCAAAATTAGACATAGCAATCGGAGATCTTTTTACAGGTTAAAAATATAAAATATAAAAAGTGTCATAGGGCCAAGGACAGGGAAGGTACAAAATAATGAACAATTTTAGTTTGGGGCCTATTACCTAGTTATTTCATCATGGTGTAGGTATTCACTGAACATAATCACTGAGAGGTAAGTGTGGTACCATGTTCACCTAACAGAACTCCGGTGTCATTAATGGTTCAATCTCGCTCAGTAGTGAGAATTAGAGATTAAGCCAAACATGTATACTTATGCATATGCATGTGACATTTTAAAATTCACAGATATTTCCCATTTTCTCCAGCAGAGGTCAGGCAACAGCAGTCCTGGACTATAAAAATTTAGGAAGCAATAGACTATTTGAGAGTGCGATTTTATTTAAAAAAAAGATAATGGAGAGTTTCTTTATTAAAAGTATTTTCCCTGCTCCTATTTTTAATTATATCTTGCAACTGGCATGCTTTACTTTTGTAATAATTATAAACAGTAACATTTACTTTAAACTTTATAAAGAGCACTTTGGCATATGTATTTTTTTTTTACCCTGAATGAACTCAAGGATATTGCATCATTAATTACATTTTCTTAGTAGAACACAGTTGATAGAATAGTCTAAGACAGAAGCAAATTCAGCTTCCTCTATGAAAAATGATTTAAGGAAATCATGTCCACAGCTGATAACAGGGAGAATTTTTTCTCAAGCAAGAGACTTAATGTAGCTGTAAGATTGCCAGAGTGAAACAAAGCTTCCTGGCCATAGCTCAGAAGCGACAATAACCTACAATGTGCAAAGGGAGAACAGCAAACATAAGCTCTGACCACTTCCTTTGTCTAGAGAAATGTAAAAGTTCTTGGTGCCAAATGAGTCAGTTCTGCAAGTCACGCAGAAAGAATAAGAAAGACATTTTTTTAATGGTCAATTTGACAACACATTTTAAAAGCAAATAACCTAACAAAAGAAATTTACTGAGGACTGGCTTTGTTAAGCAAATCACACTATCACCGTTTTCATTTCTAAATTATGTGAGTCTTTTTCACATAGAAACAAAAAAAAAAAAGGCTTGTAAAACACAATTTGAAGGTCAATCATTCTATATTATGCCAAATCAAGTACCTGCTTAATTTCTATATTACTGAATGTTCATAAAATATGAACTGTTATTTGGGCTTTTTAATAACATTATGCAAATATAAGGACATTACATTGTTATACAATTCAAACTGTTAGTAGTTTCTTCTTTATGTTGTTTTGGTTTAGTTTTGGGTGGTGTGCTGACCAAACTTAGGGCCTCATACATAGGATATGCTCTATTCCTAAACCACTCTCTCAGGTCCTCTTTCTTCCATTGTCTTAAAGAGTGATATTTTTTCTATGATAATAGGTTTTCTATTGCTTCCTTCTACCCATGGTAGCAAATGAAGAAAAGAGGAATTAAAGAAATTATAAACCTCTGCTAGAAAATATATAGTGGCTCACAATTGTAGCCTCAGCACTCTGGAGGTAGAAAGAAAAGGATCTTGTGTCCAGGATAAGGCTTGGCTACATAATCAGACCCTGTCTCCAATAAACCAAAACCACAAAAAAGTTCACAAAGCAAGCCTTCTACTAGTTCTTCTGTGGGACTCTACAATGAGGCCTAGAGTAGATGACTCTGATTATTATAAATTATCAATGGCTTTGGGATTAAAGTGAGGATTCTGAGAAAGAAAAGGAATGGGGAGATATGAGACATCAAGAGTCATGGTGGAAGAACTGAAATCCACAGAGAAGTGTGGTCAGTATAAACTCTTCAGGGGATCTTTTCTCTGTGGATTAATAGGATGCTGACTATTAGTTTAAAGCTGCCAGAGTTTCTGCTTTTCAAACATTGTCCTTTCCTCAAACCCTCAACAATGTGTGCTACACACATGTTCAGATGGACTGGGGTAAATTATGATGAACAAATAAGTACTAACCCTCATTGGCACAGAGAAAAAAAAAACAGACTTGTAGACCATGATATGTGAATATGGATCGATGTGGAGGAAGAAACCACAAGTCACAAATGATCTTAGGAAACAGAGACAGAACATATTCATATAAATAATGGAGGGATGGGGGTCAATGACAATTCCATGAAAAAGATGAGAATTAATTATTGAACCACTTTAACACCAGTTTCCAGAGAAGAATAACTTTACCTGACATGTAGAATGCAATGGTAAAAATATTAAAATATTATGAATAGTGTTTGTAATATAAAGTCTAGGGAAGCATTTTGAAAACTATAAACAAATTTTTAAATAACATGCAAGTATCACAAGTATTTAAATAGGGATACTTAATAAGCAAATCACAAATATTTTTCCAAGTGGAAATATAACTTTGTCAACACCTTTCCCAAAAAAGCTGTTTAGAATTGCTACCCAGTTTGCATTTGATCATAATGAATACATTCTCAGAGTGGTTGAAAAGCTTCCATGTGTTCCTTAAGCTTACCTTTACATAGTGGACCAGCCACTCAACTTCATTCACTTTATAGGTCTCCAATCCTAGCTCTTTGGCCAATCGTAAGATACGATTCTGTGTTGGCCCAACATACGATCCTCCGAGGTCCACATATTTAACATTTTTATTCTGTTTTTCCCATGGAAGAAAAATATAGATGATTGTTGTTAAAAAAAAAAGAAACAAAACAAAACAAAACAAAAAAATACACTCAAAACCCAATACTTACAAAAGAGCCCAATGTCTCTGACTGACTACACTCCAGCAAAACTAGGTACTTATCAGTCAATGATACCAGAAATGGTCTTACTTATCTCTGGTGATTTATTTGCTTACTGTCTAACCTCCCTATCAATGGGAGTCATTTGTCACCCTAAAAAGATGTTATTCTGTGTGGACAAATAAAAATATTATAGATACAATGGAATACTATCCAGCTTTTACAAGGAAAGAAATTCTGTAATTTAGCACAACACAGATACACCGACAGGACATTATGCTAAACGAAATAAATTAAACAATGAAAGGCAATTGCTACATAATCTCACTTATATGTGGAATATAAAATGAGTTAAGCTCATAAATGTAAACAATGTAATAGTGGGTACTAAAGGTCTTATGGGTGTGGTGGTCAGGGACAGAGAAAATGGGGAATTACTGGTCAAAGTATAAAAGTTTCAACTATACGGAACAGGTAAGTTTTGAGCTGTAATGCATAATATGGTGTCCTTACTTGATAATAATACATTGCATATTTCAAAAAAATAAAAATACATTTGAAATATGTTCACAAAAATGTCAAGTGATTGAGATAACAGTTAATTAACTTGATTTAATCACCCACATTGTATATGTATCACAGTATACTTCATAAGTATAATATGATGATCATTTGATGTTTAAAACAAAATAAATTAAAATAGATAAATAATCAAGTAAAGGTGAGATCCCTCGTCTACTTGTAAAATTTAATTTGCATGCTTAAAATGATTGTGTTAGTGCTAGAGAAGACTCAAACTTTGGGTTTGATAGTTTTCTTGCTACTTCTACAATACAATCTACATTTCCTTTTTCCTCTTTCCCACAAAAGTCTAAAAACACAACCTATGTTTATTATACTCATCCTAGTGTCTTACCCTAATTGTGTAAGTCCTGCCTCCCACACGGTCCCGTGCTTCCAGAACCATCACACTGAGGCCAGAGTCATGCAGAAGTTTGGCTGCTGCCATACCTGAGGGAAAATACAAGGAGATATTGTGATTAAATCAGTTACAAGATTGCAGACATGCTCCTTATGGAGCTGGCCACTGAGAAGAGTCATATTCCCATTAAATCTACTATAATACACCTGATGAGTACATAGGAATTCTCTGTAGAGGCCTACAGTCACCATCTAAGAAACCAAGTGATACTTCTAGGAAGAATAAAATAAATTTCATTAGCAGTAAATATCTCATGTAAACAAACATTCCATGCCATTATATCAATAATATCCACGTAGTAACAACTAAATTATAGGTCAGACAACCTAATACAAACAGAACCACAACCTGTAATATGCTGGAGAATATGCTGTAGCCAAAAATGTCCCATGCTAGACCCACATTCCATTGTCAGTGTAACTATAAGAACAAGCAATATGGAAAAAACTGGCCTTCAGCACCTATAATGGGAAAACTGGACTTTTGGAAGTTGACAAAAAAAATTGAAAGCTAAGGTCATAAGAACTGATTCTTTATAAAGCTTAATTTCAGATATGCTTGATCACTGAAGGATTAAATGGCTCCATCTCTGTACTTTAAATGTTCATCTAGTCAAAATTATTTATTGAATACCTGTGTATAGTATTTTGTCCTAACACATGGTCTAGTATTTTAGCTCTTAAAGCCCTACACTCTTTTTTTGTGAGGTGATTTTTGAAAGGAAAACTTTTATCATTTATTGAAAAATGGATTATTTTCCCACATAGTATATTTGGATTATGGTTTCCGCACACTCTACTCCTAGTTCTTCCCCACTTTCCCTCCCATCTGGATCCAGTCTTGTTCTGTCTCTCATTAGAAAACAAACAAAACTATGCATCTTTAAAACCACTCTTTGGCTATGGCTGTGATTCAAAGGTAAGTCGTTTGCTTAACATGTAGAAACCCCAGGGTTTTTATCCCTAACATTAACAAATATAAAAATATGAAATAAAACCACTCACAGAATTTGGTAAGAGCTGCCACCAAGAACAGATACTCTTGTAGTAAATTGAATTTACTTATTTGCTTCATGGGCCCAAACAAAATCAGAGAAATGCCAACATGCCACTGTGCCTCAAAAGTACATAAAACAGTTCCTTTATTGTCTTCTAAAAATAAGAACTATATGATGTTAGGCCCCAATACTGCAACTCACCTAATGTGCACTACAATTAAAATACAGTTGTGTTTCATTGTATTCAAGCTAAGGGTGTATCCTAGTGGGAGATTACTTTCCTGACTCATGTGAAGCCCTAAGTTCCTTCCCCAGCACCATGAAAAAGGAAAAACAAAAGGAGAATTTATAGTAAACTGAGTAAATGAAACTTATTCCAATAACCCAGTGAGCTAGAGTTCTTTGATAGCCTCATTTTATGGTTGAGGAAGCCCATGTACGGGTGCGCACACACACACACACACACACACACACACACACACACACACACACAC